GTTCCACTAACAAATTGTTAGTGAAACGATCTAACCTTAGTTTCTTGAGTTTTTTTCCCGTCTTCAGGTATGTGCCACATACTATGTGGTTAGTCACTAACCGCCTACTAGATCCTCTTTCATCAACCGTTAGTGAAAGAGGCTCGTTGTTTCCAACTGTCAAAGATGCTAAGTACAAAAGTAATCGATCAAAAGTTGCGCTACGAGCGAAGCGATGCAAAGAGCTCTCTCAAGAGAGGATTTGAAGCGCGCTTTTCAAGGCTCTGTTATTTGAACAGATTTCCTGCTGACTCCCAGGAGAGCTCCCGACATATTTCGGGAGCGCGTTAGTTGAACGTGATTCCAGGAGAGCACTTCAAAAGCGCTATTCAGCAGCACTCTCAGGAGCCTGTTTCGTGTTGTTTCTTGAACACCCGGTGTACTTCCCTACGTAACACGCCCTATAACAACCATGAAACTGCTCTGATATTACTTCAGCGCGCGCCATACTCACGCAGCACCACGTGAGTTCAAACATTTGAAGACCAATCTCTGGTCAGTAACCAGTGGTCACAGAATTTCCGTTTCAACCATGCTTGAGAGGGCAACCAATAGCGTAAAGTTCTATGTGTACAGGGATAACCAGCCTTATTCCACGGATCATTTGAATTAAGCCTTTTCATTTGCAGCCCTATTCAGAAGGCAGGTCGCGCCTGCATAATTGCGTAAAAGGTTTGGGCACGCTCTCCCTGGGGCCTCCATTCCTGGCGCGTGCTTATGCCATTATGGCATTTGTTGAAGCTTTGGGCGAAGCGGATGCCCAACACCGAGCGCTTGACAATTCCTGACATTATGATTGGTAAGGACGTGCACCCACTGACCAGTGAGATCGGGCACCTCTGTACGTGTATAATTTGTGTAAGCCGCACAATGCGGGACAACTCGAGCCACGTACCGTGTGCGTCTGCGTGCTACTTCCGCACGCAGACCCAAGTTCTAATGTGGATCCTCTACACATTCTTTGTTGTGTTGAACACGATGCTAGGCTGTCATTGTCAGTAATTCTTAAGTGTTCAAGGCATTCCATCTTCATCACAGTAATCTCATATGAAGTTACCCACCATTCTGACTATCCTGCTCATCTTGGGTGTTGTTAACGGTGATGCCCACCTGGCTGGTACGGGGAAGATCGACTCCGACATCATGATGGATATGCAGGCCGATAATGGCGGTCATGTGTCCGAGTTTGACCTCGAACAAAACTCGCCTAATAACCTTGAAGATTCAGGTACCTGTAAGTTCTGTGGCTACTGCAAGGAACAAGGCTTTTTTCCGCCCTACTGCTGGCCTACTCTGGCCATCTGCGGTAACGATTGCGGATCTTGTTGCTGACATTTGATGTCTTGTAGACATAGTCTTCGGCTGTCCAACGAGCCGGAAGTACTTTATGCTTCATGTTCTGACATAATTGTATAATCCAACCGATTTCCATTTCTTTCGCTGAGTCGTTAGTCGCGTCGGTTCGAGAGTCTCGAATCAAGGCTGTCATCTGATGCAACAGCCAATCTTCTGGCCGTGTCCAAGGATGCTATCTCTGGTTACGGCAAACTTCCAGATTGTACGACACGATGTTGCTGAGCATGCATCTGCTCATGAGGTCCTTAGACTGCCGTTCAATCTCTTTCATTACCTTCTTATACCAGCTGATATGTTCTGTCCGCGCTATGGTGAATTTATAGCGTGTAGTTATTAATGTTCTTGTTGACAAAGCTTCTGCATACTTTCTGATCCTAGCTGATATGTGCTGTATGCGCTATGGTGGATTTATAGCGTATAGCTTTTAATGTTCTTGATGTCGAATCTTACAGGCGCTTCACAAACCGCATTGTCGTGTTCCGTCTAATTCATTCAGAAACCTTTCTGACGAATAGGGCCACTACGTCCGAAGGACATTGTCCGCGGATAAGGAACCTGCATACAGGAGTAAGGACACCTTTTTGTGGAGACAGAATCATACACGTCCGAAATGGTGAATTATACGAGTGCGTCTCGTCGAGTCGCAAGTGAAACATTCATCGACCTCAAAAAATCAACATTAAAGCTCTCCTTTGGCACTTGTACGCCACAGAATCACTTGCACGCCTGTTGGACCGCCCTAGAGCTGTCCGAGAGCTATGCACATAGTGGAACACTTCCAACTTGAAACCTGTGGATTTTGTGACGTCTTCCTCACGTGCTGAGTCCTATTTCTGATAACCCAGCCAATTGGCATAATGCTTCCGAATCGAGAGTCTCGATTCACACAACAGAGAGGGCCCAACGTATTGGCGATGCTTTGAGACGATATCTCGGATCCTGGGAGAAAGGGATATTAAATTTTTTTGTTCACTCTTGTGGACGGGGAAGGATGTAGATTGGCTTCCAAAGCCGGTGTTCTTTATAAAACAGTCCTATGTTGACTGCTAGGACGATAATTCGACGAGATGAGCGTCCGAGTTATCGGAGCCCTCGGATTCCGAGGTACACATGGTATAGCATCTATGCTCTAGTTCGGGAAAGTAATGAACGGGTTACGTGCAGTAGTTCAGAGAATGGTGTATTATCGTGGATATCATATCCAGGATATGACTACCTGATGAATCAGGATTAGCACAGGAACCAGCCTACATCTTGCGTAAGATATGGCGCTCAACTCAATTGAGGGTGAATCCATCGCAGCTTCACGCAACTCAATCTCTCGATGTATATGGAGATACTAGTTTCAGCTGTAATCTGGCTATCTATGTCTGTGGATGTAATCAGGAATGGCGCTTCAAGACTCGTTTTCTCAATTTGAGTGACATCTGTCCGTCAACCGGACAGTTGGTTGGGAATGTGGGAGAGGACCGAACACTGTGAACCCGAAGCCCGAACCCTCTCCGGGTTTTACCTTGGGCCATAGGTTCACAGATCATGTTTGGTCACACTAACTATGTCACGGAATATAGCCCATGTCTCCTGACAGATATTAGTGTCCCCCAACCAACTTGGGACAAGACTAAAAAAGGAAGGAACGAGACTACCAGTCTCAGACTGGTTCATGGGTGGAACCATCTCGGTCTCACAACATACGGTTCGATCGATAACATCAGAATACACCAACATATTTCTTGATTAACGGAATGAGTTAACGAATGTAGTGTCTGTGAAATCCCAGGAAGGAGGTATCACCACGCGCACGCCCATACAAACGCAACGCGCTCTAAGATCGGGACACAATTGTGTAACGCTGAAGCACCTTAGCGAATCATGAATGGGAAATCGATCACTAGAGTAAAATTGTAGTTCGCAATAGAATTATGGCTTTTATTGAGAGCTGAGCTACTTGCGAACATGACCGTAGGTATCGGTCTACAAGGGAATTCTGAGATTTTAACCTACCCACTACCAACCCTGAGTACGGCGATGTCAATCGCCAGTGACGTATGGATGGTATACTACCAGAACACCTGTAGTACTGTACTACTACTACTACAGGTTTTTCACTTGATGACCATAATTGGCCCGATTGGACGGTTAGATAGACTATACAACATGATGTCGATCGTTTTAACCCATTTTATTTGACATCATGTGTCGCCGACGATTAGGCGGCGAAGGGTCCCATATTCACAAACTATGGTCACACAAGTGAGTATTATGACATGGGAAACCGAAACTAACTCGCCATAGAGTCACAAGGCTCGTGTTCGGGTTTCATGTTTAGGAAGCCGGACACAGCTGTCCGGTCCTATCATGTTCCTGGGATCAATATGAAGGCATCGCCGTACTCAAGGAACTATTTTAAATTGAAAAAAATTCTAGCCCGTCGAGGAGACCTATCGACCACTATGGCCGTACCCAAACTACGTTGGTAGCCACTCATGGCCTGATTCATGAAAGCTTAGCGTTCGATCATAGCTCTGGAGCACCCGAAACCGTAAGATGGGCGCGCGCATTTCGATTGTGTTACTTGTCTGTGTCGCGGGCAACCCTCCTTACGTGGTATTTCACTCACGCTACAGTACTGTTGGTCTTCCGCCAACCAGATAAGGTAGGCGAACTCTCATTGAGCGTTTTCAGTTTGCTCATAGCTTTGTAAGCTAAGCATACCGCTATCAGCTTCCTTCTTAATACGGAGATAAGACTCGCAGCTCCACTGCTTTTCCCAGGGGCCTGACAAATGAGCTCCGTCATCAGCTGGGCTGGCCTTATAGGACAGACTTCGAAAGTTTTGACGATTGCGCTCATCAGTATCACAAAATCAGATTTTGTGTTTGTGGTTCTGCCGTTGCCGTCTGTTCGTGATGCAAGTGAGGGTTGTGTACCTATTGTGCGCAGCCACACGTGAGACGTTCGTGCATGACAGCCACAGACAGCAAGCAACATTGCCACTAATTGTTAGCTACCGTCATTGCCACCAATCCCTAATCCCTGTAGCCGGAGGATTCACGATGAAACTTGTGTTGAAACATTCACCGCACATGCGGCGAAGCTTGAATGGAATAACACATAATGTGTTACATTCCTTGGGCAATAACTTTCTGACGGTATAGGGCTCCCATGTTCATGTGGGATTATACTAATCTAAGGAGGAGCCTCGTCTCCATTCCTAGCAAGAGTACCAACGCTTGACAATTCCTTACATTATGATTAGAAATGACGTTCACTCACTGACCAGTGAGAGTAGATGCCTCGGCACGTGCATAATTTGTGTGGGCCGCACAATGCGGGGCAACTCGAGCCACGTGCCGATGCTAGGCTGGCATTGTCAGTATTTCTTAAGCGCTCAGGCATTCCATCTTCATCACATTAAGCTCATATGAAGTTACCCTCCATTCTGGCTATCCTGCTCATCTTGGGTGTTGTTAACGGTGATGTTCACGTAGATGATGCTGGGAAGATCATCTCCGAGATGATGATGGATAAGCAGGTCGACAATGGCGGTCATGTGTCCGAATTTGTGCTCAAACAGAGCTCGCCTAACAATCTCGGAGATTCACCTACATGTGTAGTGTGTTCAACCTGCCCGGCAGTTGAGTTTATCTCGCCCATCTGTTGGCCTTTAGCCCTCGTTTGTGGCAAAAAGTGCGAGCGTTGTTGCTGACATTTGATGTCTTGTTGGCATTGCCTTCGGCTGTCCAACGAGCCAAAAGTACTCTCTCCTTTATACTTTGACATAGTTGGTCAATCCAACCGGTTTTCATTTCTTTAGCTGAACCGTTAGTGGCGTCGGCTGAAGAATGTCATCTGATGCAAGAGCCAGTTTTGTGGCCGTGTTCCAGGATGTTATCTCTGGTCACGGCAATCTTCCAGATTGTACGACACGATGTTGCTGAGCATGCATCTGCTCACGAGATCCTTAGACTGCCGTGCAATCTCTGTCTATACCGTCTTGTAACAGCTGATATGTGCTGTACGCGCTATGGTGGATTTATAGCGTATAGCTTTTAATGTTCTTGTTGTCAAAGCTTCTGTATACCTTCTAGTCCCAGCTGATATGTGCTGTACGCGCTATGGTAGATTTATTGTGTATAGCTTTAAATGTTCTTGTTGTCAAATCTTACAAGCGCTTCTCAGATCGCATTGTCGTGTTCCGTCTAATTCATTCAGAGATCTTTCTGACGAATAGGGCCACTACGTCCGAAGGACATTGTCCGCGGATAATGAACTTGCATACAGGAGTAAGGACACCTTTTTGTGGAGACAGAATCAGACACGTCCGAGATGGTAAATTATATGAGTGCGTCTCGTCGAGTCGCAAGTGAAACATTCATCGACCTCAACAAATCAACATCAAAGCTCTCCTTTGGCACTTGTGCGCCCCAGAATCACTTGCACGCCTGTTGGGCCGCCCTAGAGCTGTCCGAGAGCTATGCACATAGTGGAACACTCCCAACTTGAAACCTGTGGATTTTGTGACGTCTTCCTCACGTGCTGAGTCCTATTTCAGATAACCCAGCCAAATGGCATAGTGCTTCCGAATCGAGAGTCTCGATTAACATAACAGAGAGCGCCCAACTTATTGGCGATGCTTTGAGCCAATATCTCGGATCCTGGGATAAAAGGATATTAAACCTTTTTGTTTACTCTTCTTTGTGGACAGGCAATGATGTAGATTGGCTTCCAATGCTGGTGCTCTTTATAAAACAGTCCTAAGTTGACTGCTAGGACGATAATTCGACGAGATGAGCGTCCGAGTCATCGGAGCCCTCGGATTTCGAGGTACACATGGTATAGCATCTATGCTTTAGTTCGGGAAAGTAATGAACGGGTTACCGAACACTGTGAACCCGAAGCCCGAACCCTCTCCGGGCTTTACCTTGGGCCATAGGTTCACAGATCATGTTTGGTCACACTAACTATGTCACGGAATATGGCCCATGTCTTCTGACATATGTTAGTGTCCCCCAACCAACTTGGGACAAGACTGAAAGAAAGGAAGGAACGAGACTGGTTCATAGGTGGAACCATCTCGGTCTCACAACATACGGTTCGATCGATAACATCAGAATACACCAACATATTTCCGCACCTTAGAGGGATTCCCCCCAAATTTTTAGAGATCGGCCCCCAAATTTTAGAGCTCGCCCCAAAATTACCGTTGTACCGCGCAATACACTACTTTTTTCGGCTTCTTTTGGAGAGGCCGCGTCTTATATAGCATCGGCGTGGGACAGGTGCACGCCTACTCTGTAATCTGAGCAATCTCGAGCAAGGGGACCTCATTACAGGGAGGGTCGCCTCTTATACAGCTTCGAATAGCCAGCACCACAAGTTGAAGAAACCCACAGGGCTCTTTGAACTGGATCTACTAGCACTGGCGTGGGACAGGTGCACACTTACTCTGTAAACTGAGCGAGCTTGAGCGAGGGGACCTCATTACAGGGACGGTCGCGTCTTATACAGCTTCGAATAGCCAGCACAACAAGTGAACAGGCCCAAAGGGCTCTTCAGACTG